TTATATCTTCAGACCACTTGAAGCAGCAGACTTTGAACCATCTTCCAATTCTCCAAAAGTTCAAACCCAAAGAAGCTGAACCAAAATCAATAAATCACTCAAATAATGAATCATCAAAGAAAAGAAAGGAAAGCTCCCCTCCAATGAGCACCAGAAATCAGCCTTGGAAGCAGTCATATCTTGACCCTCTCATAGATACACATGAATTAGAAAAAACGAAATCCTACCCAGCCTTGAACACCAGGATTTCATCATTGAGTAAAGAGATTATGCAGCCAAAAACCAATGATTTTGTTGGATCAAAGCATTTCAAACCAGACCCAAATCATCAGGGACACCTGAATCCACCTCTTATTGATGAAGAAATGTCACTCAACTTTCATAGAGGAGTGTTTCAAATTGATGCTAATACAAATCCACAAGATTCAAAAAGAATGGAGGCTTTTCATTTAATTATTGATGATTCAAAAATGGGAAACAGACTATTAATTTTTGGAAGTGAACTGAAAGACAAAATTCGAGATCTGCACCGGAGAGTCACTATCAAAACTGGTTATAAAAAACATATTTTCAATAAGAAAAAGAGAAATCAATTGAATAGTGATCTAGGAAAAAAGCGCAGATCTTTAAGAAATAATTCAGCAGGAATGCTTTGGTCAAACCGGGAAAAGTGGATTAAATTTTATGAAGAGAAATGCAGGATTAAAATCAAAAACCTATCTTTAAAATCCTATTGAGGCTTTTATATTGAACAGGTTGAGAATCAATTGCTCCTGTTTCTGATACATATAGATACTATCACTTCCATCATCATCAAACCAAACCAAATTGACACTGAGGGGAAGATAATCAAAAGAAAGAATGGCTGGATTTTGAAAAATGCAGCAGAGAACTACAAACCAATTTGTCAAATGTTTGGATTGATGAAAGAGCAAGATTCACTCCCAGAAATCCCCAATAGAGATTTGGAAAATCTTCTGAAACAATCTTCATCAAATAGGGTCTGGAAGTTTATCCATAAATGGGTGGAAGTTTCCAAGAATGAAAACAATGAAAAGATAATTGACATCAGTTTTGAAAGCACATTTATCCAAGAATGGTTTTCAATATTTTTTGAAGACATTTTCTTTTACTCTATTGCACAACTGAATGAAAGTATTGAAAAGAGATTCATGAATGCTGCAAAAGCATCATCATTTTCTTACTTTCAAAAAATTCAATAGTTTGATCAAATCTTCTCTCATCTTCAAATTTACTCTCATAATGGATGACTTCCCTTCACAATTTAGAACCCTCCCAGAATTTCATTCGGACTGCTTCAATATCCTTGATTTGTGGCAAAAAAAATTATAAGCCTTGTTGTGATGGCTGTCAAGTGAACTGGTTGTGGTTTTGATTAGTGCTAATTTAGAACTGAGAGAGGTCTAAAAACAGTCTGAATGATAACAGGAAGTCCTCCAATTTACATCAATCATCATGAGTGTGTCTTTTGTACCAAAGGGTTTTTTTGTGATCAGCCTATG